ATTGTGCAAAGTCTCCCTCTGGTAATCTTCACAACTTCATCTTCGCGGGAGAAAGGGATTGTTAGTAATGGGATTAGCAACTATTACTAGCAATATACTCTATCAGGTCGACCTCCTCGCGGTTCCCCCGGGAAACCATTGTGATTAATTCATTATATATATCATATGTCATGATGGGCTAACTGACCTGTGTCATCCTCACCTATCATCCTTCACTGGTGCCCCGCCGCTGAATACCGATAGCGCGGGTGGGGTTACCATTCCATTATCATTTAGTAAAAAAAAAAACTTTATCTTCGCAACTGGGATAAAACGTCACTAGTGGATGGTTAATCACCATTAAATATCTCCTAATTGACATTTACAAAATATAGGTAGGTAATTTTTTTTTTCAAATTTTTACATCAGTGTCCATAAAATTTTTCGTTTTGTCGGATTTTGAATAGATTCAGAATTAATATGTTTTCTGTCTTCTGGAAAATTTTATCCGTATTGTAAGATATGCACGATTACCATCGTTATGGCTCTCTTATCATACATAGATTATTAGAGTGCAAATTTGATGGCGTTTTATGTAATATTTATTTTATTAATGTATTAATTTGTAATCTGTTGCCTTGCTATAATTGCTTGCATGTGTATAGGCGACGGTTACCACTTTCCATCAGGTGGGCCGTCAGCTTGTTTGCCATTCTAAGTTCTATAAAAAAAAAAAAAAAAAAAAAAAAAAAAAAAAAAAAAAAAAAAAAAAAAAAAAAAAAAATGGATACAATGACTATACTTTTTTTTAATGGGTGATAATGGTATGGTAACCCCGTCTACGCTATCGGTATACACTGGCGGGGCACCAGTGACAGATGACTAATGAGGATGAAAGCAGGTCAGTTAGCTCATCCTGACGAATTCAACTAGAATTAGCCACGATGGTTTCCAGGGGGGACCACGTGCAGGTCGACCTGACAGGATATATTGCTAGTAATGGGGCTATTTGACCTCCATTACTAACAATCTCTTTCTCCCCAAACTATGACTACACTGTGAATATACATATGACGATTGTAAGGGTAATCAACAAATGCATATTTATAATGTTAAAGACTCTATATCAATAATAGTTTAGGTTAATAGCTTAAATTAGTCTATGGTTATTCAGGTATGTTATCAAATCAGAAATTCCAAGTCTAAATTGAACTCGTCAAAGTCGCATGTCCAATCGGGACGTAACGTGTATCGAACAGTACTAGTATTCAGTATCCCATCTCAGCTCCCCCCCCCCATTTTTCGCCACAATGGCCAGCAATACATTTCGTGACTTGGCAGAACTGATGTCGAGAATTTGGCCCCCCCGCGCGATCAATACGTGCGCACAGCGCCATCTACCCACGGCCGCGCATCCAAATTGCAGTTTAATAGTTCATTAGATCCGACAAAAATGGCGGGACACAGTTTAAATTCGGAACGGTATCGATTCGCGGGCGCTGTTAACGGTTCCGTATAAAAAGTTGGCGGGCTCGGTGCTTTTTATTTTTGTACAGGTGCAGATTGGCACATTCGAGGTAGGTTCGAATAGGTGTATTGTTTAATTTCAATAAGCATATTAAATACATTTTATTATTAAGATTAAGGAACAAAAATTACAATTATGTTGCCCAAGAAATTTTAAACAAAGATTTAAAATTAGAACTTATAAATTAATTTAGTAATCTAAACATTTTTCTCTTGCAAATTTAGTTTTGTTAGGAAATTTATGTTTTTTTTTCTTTCGAAAAAAAAAAACGATAGACAATAGCTGGTTAACTTCGTTCATCACATTACATTACATGTTCAGGTTTTTACCAGTCAGCCAAACACAACCAAACAACCTACCATAATGGCATAGAATGTTTGCCATAAGTGCTTCAGTAAACGAAAACTGTTTTTTTTTTTAAATTCGTTTTAATAGACTTTCGATTTAAAAAAAAGATTGAACATTTAAATACACAATATAAGAAAGCGAGACGTTAACAAATAGTTGGCCGGTTGTTTTTGAGAACTTTTTTTTATATACAACGCCCCATCTAGATGTATATGATCAATGCTGCCAAATTATAAGTATGCTTGCGGGACTGTACGTGTTAGTACTGACTATTAGGTGTTCTGTGGTGTTGGTGCGTAGGTGTGGGGTGGGAGAATGACGGAAACTTGCCAATAGCTCGGCAATTTTCCGCCATGTTCGCATTAATCGTCACAACTTTGCAACGGTGTAATTAATCACAAACTAGTATAGCGCACGGCATTGCCCGCTTGTTTGTTAAGGAAAAGAAAAGTAAAAAAAAAAAAAGTACTGAAGACACTGGCTGATAGACAATAGTAGAATAATATTATGAAATAAATTATACATATAGTTTTATATAGATTGGAATGGAACGAATGAATGAATAGGAAATAAATGAATGTATTATTTTAAAGAATTGATCTATCACAGAAATTGATATAATATTCTTAAAAAAAAAAATTCAGAATACAATAAAATTTTTATTATTACATATCGTCATAGTCGTAGAATACCGACGGATCTTTATATGTAATATTTATCAGATCCGTCAGTATTCTACGACTATTACAATATTGACTTAACAGCTGGACGTATACTTACATGGTGTATTTTTAGACCCAGGAGAAATGTTTAATTTTTACGTTTAATGGTAGCCTTTTAGATTACACTTTGTATAAGATATGTATTACCACTTATTTATTTAATCGTATGGTATAGCTGTGTAGGTCCCGGCATAGAATAGTCCTTTAACGTTGGTGTCGTAACAGGCGTCTATGGGAGCTTATGGTAGAGGGATGGGCAGCAGCATCCCTCTTAAAATGTCGTCAAAAGCCAAACTGCAGTCGCCAATCCGACTACCAAACGTGGAAACTACTGGCAACGGATACCGTAAGAGCAAGCAGTGCTACAATTCCACTATCGTCCATTAAAAAAAGGCCCCTCTGCCCTCATTGGCATTTTAAGTGTGGTATACGAATGTTCTGGATTTGTTTTTTTTTTGCTTAAATAGCAACCAGGTCGCTATCCAGCCAATACTAGGCTATAATAATAAAAGTTTATTCGTCTGCTCCCCCCTTTTGGTTTAACAGGCCATCTTAAGTAGCGGTGGGGTCGAGTTTTTATGTTGCTATACAATTTGCACTAAAAGTATATTTATTATTATGGTATTTAGAAGTTGAAACATTTAGCTGTTCAGTTGTACTCAACTTGGTCGTGGCTGATGCTTCGATATTATTGCTCGTAATTCCGTATTTCTTAGGTATACTGTAGCGATAGTCCATCTTGGGGAGTTTATGCTTAAATTGTGTGAACTATGGCTGTCACTGATGAAAAAATAAGGGTCTTTAGACGACTTTTGTGGGATATTTAGTAAGTGAATTTTTTTCTTTTATTGAAAGAAACCTTAATTTTTTTTTATACGACACAGAATGGCAAACAAGCTGACGGTCCACCTGATGGAAAGTGGTAACCGTCGCCTATAGACATGAGTAGTACCATGGACATAACAGAGTATACTATTTCACCCATGATACCCCCATGCGTTGCCATTCCTGAGGACTCAGGTGTCATTCCTCTGTACCCAGTAAATTCACGCCATATCCCACCCTTCAAACCGAAACACAGCTGCTTCACGGTTGAAACACGAATTGGACAGAGGTACCCAAGCAATCGACTTATGTACAAAGTCTCCCTCTTTTTTAAATTTGAACCTCTCGTATTAATGCGGTGCGTCTAATTGTAAAGTTACACATAAGATTCTCTTTGGAGCATTTACGCTAACTATAATGTCTTTTTTCTCTGCATTTTTTTTTAAAGGTTTGAGGGAAGTAATGTAGTATAATGAAGTAATGTAATGAAGTCTAGCAGTTCCATTGCTAGCAATATACCCTGTCAGGTCGCTTCTCTTCGGTTCTCGCGGTCTGCCATTGGAAACCGTCGTGGACAATTGTTGGTGTGGTGAATTCGTCACGTTGTCGACTTGAATTCATATTCATCAATTATCATTCTGCAAAAGTACTCCGCCATCATAATAATATACTGATACCGTAGGCGGAGTTACTATTACACTTTAATTGCTTATTTAATTTAATTTAATAACAACTGAATCTTCAGGAATGGCAACGCAAGGGGGGTATCATGGGTGAAACAGTATACTCTGTTATGTCCATGGTACTGCTCATGTCTATAGGCGACGGTTACCACTTTTCATCAGATGTGCCGTCAGCTTGTCTGCTATTCTAAGTTGTATAAAAAAAATATATATTCTATGTATAAACAGAGGTTATTTTTTAAGCTATGAAATGAAATACACTTTACAGGTATAAACCTGTTAAGTGTATTTTAATGATACAGCGCCATCTGTTACGAACAGTCGCAAGAGCTAAACTTATCGTGCAAAATGCTTCGTAATGCTCTAGATACCTTTTTTCAATTTTAAAGTGGTTTGCAAACGGCTTGCACAGAATATCACACTTGTGAATAAATCCAACTATTTCTAGATGGCACCACTTTTTCTTTTAGGAAATGTTAATAAATTTTGTAAATATAATATATATAATTATGTATACAGGCAAAGTACAAAGAACTTGAACTCCCTACTATGAATATAAGAAACTTTCTGTGTTCACGATATCTCGGATCAGGGGTCTCCCCAGAACAAGGGCCCGTGGCATTTTGCCCGGTCTCTCACCCTATTGTTACGCCACTATCTGTCTGTCACTGTGTTACAAATTTTGAGAGTTTGTGACACCTTCCTTTCCCGTGGGTGTCGTAAGAGGCCACTAAGGGAACTTAATGGTTAAGGGATAGGCAGCAGCGTCCCTCTTAAAACATTACCAAAGTCTAAGTGCAGTTGCTAACCCGCTGCCAAGTGTGACGTCTACTGGCAAAACTCCCTTTCTAGGGAGGCCTATCTTCAGCAGTGGATAGGAGACGGATGATATCATGATGATGAAATAAACATAACTTATTGAAGGTACAAACTTTTTATTTACATCTTAAACTATGGTTTAAATAGTAAGTTACGTAACGTGCTAGGGTCCAGGTAATTCATTATATCGGACTGGATACGTAAGCTGATTGCCTCTGTCCCAGGAATATAACTCCTGGAAAATGAGTAGGAAAGAATATTAAATACCTACATAGATTTTGACAAAATGGTTGTTAGTACCTAACTATTAATACTAGACCCATTACTAGCAATATACCAGGTCGACCTCCCCGTGGTCTCTCCTGGAAACTAAATACACCTGTAATTCAATTAACTGACTTGCCTTTTCATTCTCACCTATCACCCCTCACTGGTGTCCGGCCAACCTATACCGTTGGGGGGAAAAGGATTGTTAGCAACGGAGTTTGACAGCCTCATTGCTAGCAATATACCCTATAAGGTCGACCTCCACATGGTTCCTCCTGGAAACCATTATGAACAGTTCTTGTTGAATTCGTTACAATGGGCTAACTGACCTGCTTTATTGTCACCTATCATCCTTCACTACTGCCCCGCCGGTGTATACCGATAGCGCAGGCGGGGTTACCATATCATTATTACCCATTAAAAAAACTACTAATGCTGAGGGAAGGGAATTGTTATAAATTGGGAGGTTAATCCCCATTGCTATCAATATATGCTATCAGATCGACTTCCACACAGTTCCCCGTGGAAACCATCGTGATTAATTTATGGTTGAATTCGTCACGATGGGCTAACTAATTTGCCTTTTCATCCTCACCGATCATCCCTCACTGGTGCCCCGCCAGTGTATACCGATAGCGCAGCGGGGTTATAATTATATTATTATCCATTAAAAAAAAATCTACTAATACTTGTACCATTACTAACAATATACCCTTTTAGATCAACCTCCACCTGGTCTTCTCTGGAAACTACTGTGATGAACACACCTAGAATTCAGGTAACTGACCTGCTTTTGTAATCTCAACTATCACCTCTCACTGGTATCTGGCCAACGTACACTGATAACGCAGGAGTCGTTACTATTTCATTATCATCAATTAAAAAAAAAAAGAATGCCAATTCCCAGTATTAAATGTTAGTAGTTGCATAATAATAAAATTGTTAATTTTAATCAACTAAACAATAATGTAATTAATATATTTTTTCTCAAACATGCTTGGAAATGTGAGCATTATTTTGACAGTCTTCTTCGAGATAAATCAAAATTGCCGTACTAGCCAGATTCATGTGGGCAGATAAACTCATATCTGCCCTGTAATTGAAATATGGAATGATCTTTTACTTCGAAACATGGCTACCAAGGAGGTAACTAATATAAAGTTTTATTTAAATTTCAAACTAGCTTGCAAATAGAAAACTGTTTATTGAAAAAAAAACAAAGGAACATTATGGCGCGTGAAAAATTATTATTATTCGTTATTCATTACTGAACTTAAAAAATAAAATTGTGTTTTTGATTTCAACGCATTGTTTGAGAAAAGTACTATACAAGCCATGGCCACAACTAGGCATTGATGGACTCACGTATGTGTGCCTCGGCTAAATCTCGGCCCACATTTGCACGTTCGTCCATCATTGCCTCAGTTGCTGGCCGCTGCAGTATTGTGCTATCAACAAAATAACACCTAATGTATGTCTTTTTCTAATCTATGGTAAAACAGTGGTAATATTTTCCCCTTCAACTTACTTTGTGCATATGATCGTACCCCAACTGTGTGGTCTTTCTGAACGGATTGGTGAATTGAAGGGATACTTCAACTGGTTTCTTGAGGTATAGGTCTATGGCTACCGTGACCTTACTCTCTCGTTCTGTGGCGGAGTCCAGAGCGTACAATACCCCACATACTATGAACATTTCTCCAACCTATAAATCATGGGGGAAAGCAATTGTTAATAATGGGTTCTAACAGCCTTATTGCTAGCAATACAGGGTGCATTGAGACAGGTCGACCTTCACGCGATTTCTCCTGGAAACCATCGTGGTTAATTTTTGTCGAATTCGCTGTGATGGGCCAACTGACCTATTTTCATCCTCGCCTATCATCCCTCACTGGTGCTCCATCAGCGTATACCGATACCACAGGCGAGGTTGCCATTCCACTTTCATTCTATACAGAAAACCTGTAAACCATTAACTAAGAGTAGCTTTTTAGCAATAAGGTCGGTTCAATGTTGGTTGGTTATAAAACGGATTAGAAAATTCTTATTTCATCTGAAAGGATATACTTTCAGATTGGTATTATGACATTTGCTCTAGATTTTTTCTTTTTAAGTTTAATTATTATAAAAAATAAAATAAATACCTGTCTGTGATTAAGCGAGATATTCCAAATATAGTCTATGTTTAATCCATCCCTGCTAGGGTCGAAACTAAGCTGAAAATAAACACAAACTATTTATCTGTTCATATTTCGATATTCAGAAGCAAACCTTCAGATTCAGATGTTCTTTGGTAGTCGCAGAAAACATGCTTTTCTATAGGTAAAATTTTTTTTTGAATCGGTTAAGTATTTTGTTAGTTTATCCATTACAAACAAAACTTAAATCTTTTCTTGTTATAATAATAGTTTTGAAGAATATTTGAAGTGAACCTATTTTTGTTCTTGGCATTTGAATTTCGGTCAGTGTCATGGTAATGAAAAAGGATGTGGATTCAGCTTAAAGTCCTTGCAGAAGCAGCAACGCTGATTTTTAATAAGCACCTTATCACCTTGCCCCATCCGTTAAGATAAAAAATTAACATTTTGGGTAACATAACACAATAAGGTAACTCAAACATGTAACATATTAAAATGCACTCTGATTCTGATCCTTTTATATAATATTTTATATTCCAAGTCTAGTCCAACTTTCTGTTGTTACATAATCTAACTAGGTGGGTACTGGGGGGAAAGGGATTGTTAGTAATGGACATTTGACAGCCCCATTGCTAGCAATATGCCTTATTAGGTCGACCTCCACGTGGTTCCCCTTCGAAACAATCGTGAACAATTCTTGTTGAATTCGTCACGATGGGCTAACTGACCTACTTCATCCTCACCTATCATTCTTCACTGGTGCCCCGACAGTGTATACCGATAGCACGGGTGGGGCTACGATTCCATTATCATCCATTTAAAAAAAAAAAAAAAACTAGGTGGGTGCTTTCAAAATGTTAAGTTCTTATTACTAACGAGTTAATAGCCTCCTAAGTATATGATGAAAAGGAGCCAGTAGATGCAGGTGGCTCAGGACCGTTCCTTATGGCAGTCTATGAGGGAGGCCTATGTTCAGCAGTAAATGTTAAACTCAGAGAATATCCCTTTGAAACACACTAATCTAGAGAAACAACAATAGCGAATTCTAAATTTAGAAATTCCATCCTAGGTAGCTCGTATGTACTTAGTACGAGATTATATTCTTCTACGAAAAGAAAAAAAAAAACTTTCTGCTTTCAATTTAAAACTCAAAGTACCTTAGCAACTGCGGTGTTGTTTGAACCTTCAATTGAATAAATGGCCCATAGGCCATTATCATCAGCACTGAAGTCTACCTGTAATAAATGTCAATTATTACCTGCAGGTTTTCATAGCAAAATCTAAGATGTTATATGGCTAATGAATTTTATTAAGGGGTATGCACTAAAAATTATAAAAATAAAAAAGAATTCGAAAGCCCAGAAATTATCATCATGCATTTGTAATATTACCCATTCTTTGTCTCCGTGTGTGCCCAGGCATAGAATGGGCCACTCCTTCATTTGTCGTGGTTGTCGTTAGAGGCGACTAAGGGAGGGCGAGGGATTGGCAGTAGCGTCCCTCTTAAAACATCTTTAAAAGCCTAGCTGCGGTTGCCAACCCTGCCATGTTTGGATGGTGACTACTGGCAAAACTCTTGGGAAGAAACTTATGGGAAGGCTTATGTTCAGCAGTGGACAGTTATAATGATGATGATGATGATGATGATGATGATGTGTGAAATATAAAATTAAATAGATACCTGATTATGTTGAGAGGTATACAATCTTCCAGCTGCATGGGGTAAGTGCACAGACTTGATTCTACTCTGCGTCAGATCGTACCTGATGATATCACCAGGATGACCAGACTCGTTGGCTTGATAGAAGAATGACCCACTATAAACTATGTGTCCGTTACCCTGTGTGTTAAGGAAAACCAAATAATTTATTTTTTTTGGCTCTCTACTATTATATGTACTAAGTGATTGGTGTACTCAATCTATCACCATCTTTCTCCTTCTACGAGTAACTCTTTTAACTTAGAGTCGGTATAAATAAATAAATAAATAAATATATACGGACAAATCACACAGATTGAGCTAGCCCCAAAGTAAGTTCGAGACTTGTGTTATGGGATACTAACTCAACGATACCATATTTATAATAGATACATATATAGATAAACATCCAAGACCCAGGACAATCAGGAAAAGATCGTTTTCCATCATGACCTGGCCGGGGATCGAACCCGGGGCCTCCACGTCGCAGGCAGGCGTGTTGACCGCTGCGCCACGGAGGACGACTATCATATCACTTGTTCTTTCTTTTTTTTATTTCTATTTGTAGTAATTTAAGTAGTTGTATATATACTTTTTTATGTTTATTACCTCATAACTCCGACAATTGTAAACTGATTTCGAAGATTCTTTTTTTATTTGAAAGGATATATTTAAAGATTGGTCCCACAGAAATTTTATTAAAATCGGTCCAGAAAACTATAGTTTTTAAATCAAAATTTTGTTTCGGTTTTGCCGCAATTGAAGTCCGGTTTTTATTTGTGGAACACGATCTTAATTATTATCACACTTACGAGTGATACCTATTATACAATGTCATAAATACACAAGAGATATATTTGTATTTGCTATATAACTTAGCAGTTTTGTATTTATTTTCAGTAAACTTACAAAGAACGGTTTCTGTAGTTTATGAAATTCGTCCACGTGATCCGATTTGAAACTGACTTTGCTCCCATATTCCCGTAGTCTTTCCACATCGTTCTCCTGTGTAGTCCACAGCTTGTCCCTCTGAAATATATGTTTTTATAAAATTTATCTATCAAAATACATAGGTTTAGAGAATAAGCTGTATGTCTATAAATATATGTACAAGTTACCTGAGCATCCGTAGCGTTAGAATCCCTCAGCCAAGCTCCGAACAGTTCGTCCTTATATCTGTGATAAACAGGTTTTCCGATAGCGTATAATTGGCAATCTGGAAGAGCAATGATAACTTTATTATTGCTAGGAAAGAATAAGAGCTAAAACATATACTTTATACTGAAGAATTACATATAAAATGATTTGCGAATGCACTTGAGCCTCTAATGATGAAAATGTACCAAATAAACTTAGACGATAGTACTCAGTAGATCTAGAATAGTCTAGAAGTCAAACAGAGGAATAACACCTGAGTCCTCAGGAATGGCAACGCATGGGGAGTATCATGGACGTAACAATATACTCTGTTATGTCCATGGTACTGCTCATGTCTATAGGCGACGGTTACCACTTTCCATTGGGTGGACTGTCAGCTTATTTGCCATTCTAAGTTGAATAAAAAGAAATAACTTAGAATGTCATTATCATCATCAAATTAGCCATTATGTGTCTACTGTTGAAGCCTCTCCCATAAGTGGGTTCTGCTAGTAGTTGCTACGCTTGGCAGGCGAGTTGGCAACCGTAGTTAGGCCTTTGGTGATGTTTTAAGAGGGATGCTGCTGTCCATTCCTCGACAATTTGCTTTCCTTAATCGCCTTTAAAACCCACCCACAGGAAAAGAAGGGGTAGTCCATTCTATGCTGGGATACATAACGAACTTAGAATATATAGTGTAGGATTAAAACTAATAATTAAAGTACACAGGAGAATAAATAGAACAGAATTACAGCGGTTCTTTTGTCTGCCAGAATTTTCTTCGCATGTTTATACCAAAGTTGAAGAATTGGTGAAGAATGAATATTCGTTCGTTTGGTATAAGGATGATTTTAGAATGCTCTTAGTCATCTAGCATACAGAGATGTTCAAGCATTCGTACGCTTAGCCTCTATCCACCAAGAGTCGAATTGCTTACTTACTAGTATTCCTTCGTATGTTGTAACCAGCAGTTGAATTCATACTGAGTATAAGTAACTGGGCACGGTCGCACCGAGGGCACGACGGGCATCGTTGTACTTGGCAAAGCTCTTCGTAGGAGGTCAAGATCGGAGGCCGTGAGCCAAACTCCATCGGCTGCTGCACTGGCATGTGCTGGTGGGGACTCGGATCTATTAATACAATCGTGATATATAAATATTAGAATTTCAAATTTCCAATTTTGACATTTTGTTATGAAATATGGTTTCGTGTTGTTCATATAGTTTTGACTATTGTAATATTAGTATACTTGAGCCTGGGATTTGGACTTCAATGAATAAGAATTTTACTAGACCCCAAAGGTCTTGAGTTCGTATATGGCCAAAACTAAAATAAGGCATTGTTAAATTAAACTCCAACTAACATTCCGGTAATGGAAAATATTGTTAATCAACCATAAATTATTGCTCTTGCCCGAGAGATTGAAAGTATGTTTCACTATATGTGGACGTCTCGAGGGCAACCACAACGGTTGACAAATTCCTTTACCAACTTCACAAGAAATTCAAGTTGTAAAATCCACTCACACGCAAGTTTTATATGTCCTTTCACAGTCTGATTATTCAACTCGTTCTTTGCAACACAGCTGTACTGGCGTAGATCATGCTCCCTAATCCCTGGGATCTCTAATCTCATGATCCACCGCCAGGGGTCCCCGGTGGTTACCACCTCGGTCTTATAACGTGGGCCCTCCAATGTGATACCTTCATACTCCCAAGCAAGAACTGGTTCTGGCCATGCTTGTATCTGTAACATTATTACGAAAAATTTTATTAGATGCTATTTACGAGTTATTCGTAATTCTATTATAATAATAAAATACCATTATTATCTTTGAAAATTTTCTGAAATAATAATTATCATTATTATTTTGTTTAGTGTGGTCCCAGCATACAAAAGAATCATCCCTTCCTTTTTGTGGGTATTGTAAGAGGCGACTAAGGGTATTTAATGGTTGAAGGAGAAGCAGCAATGCCTCTTTTAAGACGTCATGTAACCGCGATTGCCAACCCGCCTGCCAACCCTGGCAACTACTGGCAAAACTCTCCCAATGGCAAATACCTGGAGGTAATGACCCCCAGTCCTTTGGCTCGGGATTGTTCCTTATAGTTGTTTATGGAGAGGCCTATGTTCAGCAGTGGATATTTATCGGTTGATATGACGATGATGATGATAATACATATATTTAGTTTGAATGGATTTGAATGGATTTCCGGCTATAAATGGAGTACGATTCTTTTTATTCAGTTCATGAAAAGGAAAACTGCAGATTACAGCTAGCAAAAATTAACCAAAGGAATATATTCTATATATTCCAACATACACATCTTCTTTTCATTTAAGAGTTTCCTCTTGTCGGTGCAACTAATTCATGCATCTTCTTCCAGCCAGTTCTATCCCAGGCCTTATCCTTGACCTCCCTATACGACATGACACTTAGTGTTTATTTTATCTGTCCCATGTAGTCCTTCTCGGTTTTCCTCTTCCTCTTTTGCCCTCTATTTTTATTTCTACTATGCTCTTAAAAAATCGTCATGTCGTATATGGTGGCCCAGCATTTTGCCTCTTCTATTCTGTATTATTTTAATTAATGCTTTTTTCTCGTTCACCCTCTTCAGGACTTCCTCATTCAACATATACATACATAAATAAAAAAATAATTGACTTACCTCACACTCTATTTTAGCAGTTTTGTTGTAAACATACACTATGTTATTCGGTACCCTTATGTAAGGACTGACTGAAATGAATTAATTCCATCATGTTAATAAAAATCAGAAAGTTTAATAAATTAAATTTTTACCTCAAAATTATTGTATAGATAAATTTGCTATAAAAATGGATGGGCCTTTCTTTGGAAACTGTGGTAACCTACGGGCTATTATATGTCTTATGTGGTTATTATTTAAATTCAAATTCAAATTATTTTTATTCAAACAGACTTATTTACAAGCACTTTAAAAATTGCCATTTTTTTAAAATCTACTGCAGAGTTTGGAAGGTTGTTGAGAAGAGACCGCAAGAAACTCAACAGTTACTCTTAAATCTCCGTTAATATTATGTGTATTTATTTAAATGTACTATGTCTAAAATTACATGGTCGTTAAAAGCTCGTGCATGATCGACTAACATCATGTTATTTGTCATTCAAGTAATCATTTCGTGTGTAATGGGTTTTGTTCAATAAGTGTTTTTAATAACAGTTTTAAACTTATTAAAAAGGTAGATCGAAAATATCCTTCGGCATTTTATTATAACATTTAATGCCCATTCCAATAAAAGACCTAGTCATATATTAATGTACTGTAAGAATTAATCTGTACCATTTGGCATGCGAATAAAATAAATAAATAAGAAAGTTCTTAATTTAAATTATTATTTACATGTGTTATCTTTTATCTTTGTAAACGATGTTTTCGCTTCGAAGTCGCTTTTTTTTGTATAACAAAAAGTGATATCTATAGACACGTACAATGCACTTCGACGTCTGTAGTCTGATTAGCGGCTGGCAGCATCCCGTTGTTGGCCAGACAGACGTACTTGCCAGTATGCCATCTTGATACGTTCGGTATGTTCAGAAGGTGGCCGCTTACAGAGGCATCGCGCCACGAACCCTGTCATTATCAATATTGTGATGTTTGTGGGTACATCATTAATGTATGACATTTGTAAATGTGTACCTACCTCTCAATCGGGATTTGTCAGTCGGTTGCCGGCCTTAAAACGTATAGCTGATTAACTGTGTATATATTTGAAACGATATCCCTAAACAGTATATTTTGGCGACGAGGTATTGAACTCAAGCGTGCATTTAGTCATTTAGTGTAGTGGAAGTAAAATGGCTAGTAGTGGAAGCATGTTCGGCGGCAGTCTCAGCTTCGATCATAGAACGCAAGAATGGAGCATTTTTCAAAGCCGTTTTGTACAATATTGTGCAGCGAATGATATCGACGATAACACAGACAAGACAGGGATAAAACGCCGTGCGTTGTTACTCACGGCGCTGGCTGAAGATACCTACCGAATAGCGATCGATTTGACCTTCCCGACCTCTGTGGAGGTTATCGACTACAAAGCGTTGATTAAAATTTTAAATAATCATTTCAAAAGTAAAAAAAGTTCCTTTGGCGAGCGGCTCAAATTCAACTCGGCACAACAACGACCGGGTGAGGAGTTAGCGGAATGGGCAGCTCGAGTGCGGAATTTGGCTAAACATTGTGGGTACAAAACTGAACTGGAAACAATGCTTCGAGATCGTTTTGTTCTCGGTATGGTGCTTTCGAAGGAGAAAGAAAAGTTATTTGCTGAAAGTGTCGAAACTTTGACCTTTAACCAAGCTTTGGAGATCGCTCAAGGTGTGCAGTGTGCGCGGCAAGCATTGCAAGGGGTGGACATGGATGCAAGTGGAGGAGTGCTGGCGCAGCCGGTGTTCTCGTTGCGTACAGAGCGCAGTGAGCGCGGCGGCCGCAGCGGCGACGGTGGCGGCGGCGGCGGCGGGACCGGCGGCGGCGGCGCGCCGCGGCCTGGCTCGGCGCCTGCAGCAACGGCGCGATTTTCGTCGCGAAATGGTGCGAATCGATGTGATGTGTGTGGTTATAAAAATCATTCAAAAGATAAGTGTCGATATGCCGAGTTCACATGTAGGAAGTGCAATCAAAAGGGACATTTGTTACGGATGTGTAAATCGAACGTAAAAAGTAATTATTTTTTGGCTGTGGATGATGACGACACTGTTAAAGGTTATGATATGTTTAATATAGAATGCATTAATGGTGAGCCGATGCGGCAGGCAGTCGAGATTGATGGTTGCAAAATAATGAGCGAAGTCGATAGTGGTAGCGCTGTTTCTGTCTTGCCTTATAGTATATATCGGTCCGCGTTTGAAAAGAAAAATAAGCTTAAACCGTGTGAAGTTGTTTTGAATTGTTATAACGGGAGCAAAATCTCACCTGTAGGTTACATAATGACTTCAGTCACTTTTGAAGGTCGCATTAAACCAATTAAATTGTTTGTAATAAATACACAAAACAATCAACCAGCATTATTAGGCCGGGATTTCATTAGCGCATTTGATTTACATTTGTGTAGGGTCGGTTGCAATAATTTAAATGTTGAAAATATTAGTGATTTATTAAAAAAAAAAGTTTAGTGATTTATTCAAAGATGAGTTAGGTACTTTTAACAAATATAAAATAAATTTAAAATTAAAATCAGACTCGCAATTAAAATTTTTTAAGCCTCGCCCGGTACCCCTTGCTCTTCGAACAAAAGTAGAAAATGAATTACAACGTCTTTTGGAATTAGGAATTTTAGAGAAAGTAGAATATTCTGATTTTGCCACTCCTATTGTACCCGTTCTTCGGTCAGATGGTAATATTAGAATATGTGGTGACTTTTCAGTGACATTAAATAAGGCTTTATATTCAGATAATTATCCATTGCCCCGCATTGAGGATTTGTTTGCTAAACTGCATGGAGGGGTTGAATTTTCTAAATTAGATCTTTCTAGAGCCTACAATCAATTAGTACTAGACGATTCAAAAAAATTTACATGTATAAATACACACAAAGGTTTGTTTATATACAACCGTTTAGTTTTTGGATTGTCAAATGCGCCATCTATTTTTCAACGGACAATGGAACAATTATTATCAGATATCGAGGGTACTTGTATATTTTTGGACGATATTTTAATAACAGGGGCGACTAAAGAGGTACATCTTAAGAGGTTAGAGGAGGTGTTAAGTCGACTGCAAGAAGCTGGCCTACGACTAAAATCTGACAAGTGCGAATTGTTCAAAGAATCGGTGGAATATTTAGGATTTAAAATAGATCGTAACGGCTTACATAAATCGGAAAAAAAAGTTGAAGCAATTTTAAACTGTACAAGCCCAAAAAATGTAAATGAATTAAAATCTTTTTTAGGTATGGTTAATTATTATAGATGCTTTATTCCTAACACTTCTAGTTTATTAAATCCACTGCATACTTTATTGAAAAAAAATGAGAAATGGAGGTGGGATGCGATACATGACGAGACATTTAATATGATTAAAAAGCAATTGGCATCGGAACGGGTGCTGGCGCATTACGATCCAGTGTTAGCCACTGTGGTGACATGTGATGCCGGTCCAGCAGGACTGGGCGCTGTGCTGGCCCAGCGGCAAAGCGACGGACGCGAGCGGGTCGTTGCTTATGCGTCTAGGTCACTTTCCAAAGCAGAACGTAATTACGCACAGATCCAGAAGGAAGCGGCTGCTATTGTCTTTGCTATAAAAAAGTTTCACTACTATTTGTACGGTCGTATGATTCCATTTACGCTTCGCACAGACCACAGGCCACTTTTATCAATTTTTGGAAGTAAGAAAGGGGTACCGGAAATGGCGGCCAATAGATTACAAAGGTATGCCTTATTTTTATCGGCCTACAATTTTAACATAGAATACATTAAAAGCGATCAAAATGTTGCCGATTACCTGTCTAGATCGGTATTACCGGATCAGAATTCCAGTAATAATGTAGAGGACCAAGCTTTATATATAAATTTTGTCACGGATACAATTTTGAAACCAGTGACTATAACAGATATTAAAAAAGCTACAGCTAGCGATAAATTAATTAAAAAAGTAATGGGTTACATCGAAAAAGGGTGGCCTACCAAGATAACCGATCCAGAATTAAGGCCTTACTATAACTGTAGATTAGAACTATCAGTTGAGAATAACTGTTTAATGCGTGGCCATAAATTAGTTATTCCGGCTATTTTCAGGGAACAGTTATTAAACGAATTGCACAATTCACATTTCGGAGTTGTTAAAACGAAAACGGAAGCTCGGAGTCGTATGTGGTGGCCTCAAATAGATAAGAATATTGAGCAAAAAATCGGCTCTTGTAGTATATGCGGCGCGCTTCGAAACGCGCCACCGCGCGCTCCGCTCGCGCCGTGGCCGTACCCTTCGCAGCCATGGGAACGTATACATCTAGATATGTTGTATATAGATGGAAAATATTTCATGGTAGTAATAGACGCACACTCTAAATGGTTAGAATGTTTTTTAATGACGACCACTACTACTGAAATGATTATTTCTAAAATATGTGAACTGTTTAGTAGGTTTGGGTTGGTGAAAACTATAATTACTGACAATGCTCCTAATTTCTGTTCAAATCAATTTGATGAGTTCTGTAACAAAAATGGAATACAACATTTAACTATCGCACCCTATCATCCACAATCAAATGGGCAAGCAGAAAACAGTGTAAAAACTATAAAAAAGGCTTTAAAAATTATATTACAAGAAAACAAAACACAGAAAACTATATTACAACAATTGAATAAATTTTTATTTGATTATAGAAATAGTAGTCATTGTACTACCGGTTTTTCTCCAGCCCAGTTGTTGTTGGGTCGGTCTTTACGTTGTAGACTCGACCTCCTGCTGCACGTGCCAAATGCGGATAGGACAAATAATTTAACAGAGTCAGTATCAGCTACAGCCAATTCTAATGTTAAAAATAAACAGACCTTACAGAGTAAACAATACGGAGGACATCGCAGAACTGATTTCAAAAAAGGAGATAAAGTTTTAGTTAAGCAGTATTATAATAATGGTAACAAACATATTTGGCAATTTGGGATCATATCTAAGGAAATCGGTTCTAGGATGTACAACGTGTTATTACCGGGAAGTAAACAGTATGTAAAGAAACATGTGGATCAAATTTTAGCTTATAGAGGCTCGGATAAAACTTATGAGGTTGATGATGTAAGCATTATTGGAAGCTTTGAACAAGAATATGAGAAGAGCACAGAGGGCCAAGAAGATTTCATATACGAGCAACAAGATCAAAACAGCGATTCTTCATTTCAATCATTACCGGAGAACATCCATAATAGTATGATGTCCAAATTGGGAGAGGAGCGAGCTGGTGGGGAGGAGAGAATATTAAGTGATAACAGCGCGTCGAGTCCGATACCTCTAGGTTCGGATCCAGTGCAGCCTCTCAATGTGCCATCAACTGATAATAATGAACACACCTTGCGTCAAAGACCCCTTAGAGCGACTCGAAAAAAAAATAAATTATAAATTGTAATTGAGATATTTTAGGCTGTTCATTGTTTTAGATAATTTTATACTACTGGTGGAGGGATGTGATGTTTGTGGGTACATCATTAATGTATGACATTTGTAAATGTGTACCTACCTCTCAATCGGGATTTGTCAGTCGGTTGCCGGCCTTAAAACGTATAGCTGATTAACTGTGTATATATTTGAAACGATATCCCTAAACAGTATAAATATATTAAAATTTTTATACGCGTACCAACTACAGTGCAGTACTATGAAAGTAAACTGGGGGTCTACCATGAATTGAAGTTCCGAATTTTCGAACTCCTTTTTGTGTTATTGTCGTTTTGTCCCGGCATAGAATAGGCCATCTCTTCCTTTCCCGTAGGTGTCGTAAGAGTCGACTAAGGGAGAGCGAGGGACGGGCAGCTGCGTCCATTTTTAAACATCTCTAAAGCCTAACTGCGGTTGCCAATCCGCCCGCCAAACGTGGCAATTACTGGTAAAACCCTCCAAGGTGGAGGCTTATGTTTAACAGTGGACAGTTAAAGGTTGATATGATGATTTCATGTTTTTGTTCATACTAAAATTAGCCCAGTACATGTAGCGTAAGACTTTGTTCGTCCTTAAAAACCCAATATTTAAAAAAAAAATGTTATTTTTAAATGGTCTATAATATGTAAGATTGACATAAAAGTTTTGTATTGTTCGGTTCCGAAATTTCGAAAAACATATCATGGTAGGCCCTCTGGTTCAACAGTCCATAGACGCTTGTAAGGCCAGAGATGTTAACATGCATTATTGACAACTATGGCATGAAGATAAGTCAGATTCTTTTTCACGGATGACAAATAAATTGATAACCCTGTCTGCACTATTGGTATATGCCGGCTGGATACTTTTTACTGATGATAGGTGAGGGTGAAAGTTGCTCGTCGGGGCCAATTTTTAGGTTTTAACCGAGATGGTTTTTAGAGGGGAGCTTGGAAATGTTGACCTAACTGCATGTTTGCAAGCTTGTCCCCACTCTTACCTACTCGTATAAAATGCTGAATTGTATAGTAGATTATATTCTGAGGAATACTCAGGTTGTGGTATGAGCTCTCTGCCGAGGTTCTCCCAAGAGACTACAGCATGGGGTTCTTTAAAAGGGGGGTAAAAAGGTTTCTTCAGGGTCGGCAACGCACGCGTAATACCTCTGGTATTGCAGGTGTTCATAAGCCACGGTAACCACTTACTATCAGGTGGGCCGTATGCTTGTTTGCCACTTTAGTGATATAAAAAAAAACTGAGGAATTATTTGACTTGACCACATTTTTTATTGTCTCTATCAAATTATATTTTGCCTTATAGTTTATAAGAAATGAGAATTAATGCGATCATTTAGGTATACTAGGATAGTTTACCTAAATTCTCTCGACGTTCCGATCATGTTACATCGACCGTGGGTACGAGTAGACTGATGTAGTGCTATCACGTCTCCTGCTTCCGAGGTAGAAGGTTTTTCTTCTACCCATTCATTGTCCCACATCGCACAAATTGTGTCACTATATCGAGAAGAGCAGAAAGCACACCACTGATTCGATACATTTACCGACTGTAGACTATAACGAGGTAATGTTTTCTGTATTACTGGGTTCCAGGTCGTAGGTTAATTCCCATTTCTTATATATCATAAAACATGCAGTGATAAAGTCTAAATGTTAAAAATATTTTGTCTTGCCTGAATAATAGCAGTGCCGTCAGATCTTCGCCACTCCACGGTGGGTTCAGGTCGCCCCATTGGGTTGCAGCTGATGCGTAGGGTATCACTCTCGCGCACTATTACACGAGTGTGGTCCTCTGAAATTGAAAAGTCGAATATTAATTTATGATTAAGTCTTATTATTTGTTTATAATAGATATATTAAGTATTTTTTTTTATATTCCTTCAATTCAATAATGCACCGCTTACTTATTTCTCGGTTAACCCAATGGTTGACTGATAGAGAACACCGTCTGGTATTAAAACCGCTACATGTACATAATTTCACAGTGCATTAAAGTTTAAATAAATAAAAAAATTGTTGAAAAATTCTAGATCTATTTACTGTATTTGTTATTTTCAGCGGAAAATTATATAAAAGCCTGTACTTTACCGAAATATAAGTGGGACAGAAGTACTCATATACTTCTGTCCCGCTTGTTTTGGTATAGTTTCAGTTATAAAGAGCACATTGATCTTATAAATGGCAACATATTAGATTTAATGAATATTCTTCTTAAAATGGTTTTTATAACCAATAATTTCAGCTCACAAGTGATGAGGTAGTTAATGACGGCTTCTCCAATTTATTAAGCTTATTAATAGTGTTTTTTTTTATGCAACTTAGAATGGCAAACAAGCTGACAGCACCCCTGATGGAAAGTGGTAACCGTCGCCTATAGACATAAGCAGTACCATGGACATAACAGAGTATACTGTTTCGCCCATTATCATGTACCCACCTGTGTAGATTAAGTGTAGATTAATAATTAAGTCTTCACTAATTGTATGATTGTTACCTTAGTATAAATTAACACTTATCTCTAAGAGCTGTATACGTTTCTAATTGATATGTTCATCTAGCTTTAAGTTTACTTATTAGCTTTTTTTATGCAACTTAGAATGGCAAACAAGTTAATGGCTCACCTGATGTAAAGTGGGAACCGTCGTTTATAGACATGAGCAGTACCATGGGCATAACAGAGTACACTGTTTCGCCCATGATACCCCACATGCGTTGCCATTCCTGAGGAATCAGGTGTTATTCCTCTGTATCCAGTAATTTCACGCCATATCCCACCCTTCAAACCGAAACATAGCCATGCAAACACAACTGCTTCACGGTAGAAACACGAATGGGACAAAGGTGCCTAAGCAAACGACTTTTGTACAAAGTCTCCCTCTGGTAGTCTGTTTAAGTATTGTGACCATATTGTTGGTGTATCTTATATAAATAAATAAACAGAATATAATAATATAATATAATATATTTACTAACGTGCAAATGTTGGCGGTATGAACAGTTCTTTTTCTTTCGTATAGTTGTATATGGAGAGACCGGGTCTTCCTGGAGCGCCATCTCGGCCGTCGTTGCCGCGTTGACCCTTGGGTCCTGTCGGTCCCCGATCGCCTTTTACACCTCGAAGGCCCGGCGGGCCTGGTGCACCTGCTCTGCCTGTAAAATGGATGATCTCTTATTTTACGCTATGCTATGAATCATATAATATCTTATTATATTAATTTTGATGCTTGAGGCATTCGAAATGTGGACATGGAAGAGAATGGAAAGGATAAACTGGATAGAAAAAGTAACGAATGAGGAAGTCTTGAAAAGGGTGAACGAGAAACGAACATTAATAAAAACAATAGAGAATAAAAGAGACAAAATGCTGGGCCACCTTATACGACATGATGATTTTTGAAACAGTATATAGTAGAAGGAAAAATAGAAAGCAAAAGAGGAAGAGGAAGACCGAGGAATAACTACATGGGACAGATAAAAGAAACACTAGGTGTCATGTCGTATAGGGAGGTCAAGGATATGGCCTGTGATAGAGCTGGCTGGAAGAAGATGCATGAATTAATTGCACCGACAAGAGGAAACTCTTAAATGTAAAGTGATATTAATTTTATCATTGGTATCTGATTTTTCTGTCAATTATAATTTTCTATTTATATTTAACTAATGACTGTTATATAAATCTTTGGGCTTTCTTAATTACTTCTCTTAGTGGATATCTATGCCTACATTCCAGAAATATCATACCAAGTCATCCCATAATGTTTTTAATTGCACACATTTGCTCATAGGTAATATAGTTTTGAAATTTAATAATCAGTAAGTAATCGGGTAGAAATTATTTTACCTTTATGTATTATTAATTACTCCATACTCATAAAGTACTAACTTGTTAATAACGTTAATAATGATATTAAAAATAAATAGTAACATTTAGATACCGTCTTTCCCATCTTTTCCATTCTTTCCTGGACTGCCGTCTCTTCCCGGTACTCCGTCCCGACCGTCTTTACCTGGAGCACCGTCAGCGCCATTCCTGCCTGACATCCCATCTAGTCCTGGCTCCCCTGGCACACCATCTCGACCGTCCAACCCCGCGTTGCCAGGGAAGCCACGTTCTCCTGAAGATTTTCGTGAATACTAAAGTTATTAATTTTTCGTCATAAATGGACCATTGTTGTCATTGTGAATAAAACTGTTTTTTTTTTTCAAAAAAAGGAATATACATCTAAATTTAATTCTCAGATTATAGGAGATTGTTGTACATTGTTGTATAACCCCTTTATTGGGAGGCCTATGTTCAGCAGTGGACAGTTAACGGCTGTTATGATGATAATGAATTTTATTTTAATTTTTATTCTCATATTACATATTACTGGTTAAGGATCCTTTGGTATTTTTTTTCTGTTTGTAAAAACGGTTATGTACTTATTTCTTGTGATTTTTTTTTGTAGCCAGTAAATATTTTCATTTCTTTTTTATTCTATTCTATTCAATCTAGTTGACAGGACAAAGCACAGCAGTTCAAAAACAGGAAAACTTGAAGTAAAACCATACACCAGTCAGTACTGTAATAGTAAGCAAATATCTTTTTCTAATCTCCGAGGGAGACTCATGTTCAGTACTGGGATAATTTAATTATTAATTGTTCTGATGAAAGTTCACCTTTTGGTCCAGGCGGTCCAATCGGCCCTCTAGCTCCCGCATGGCCCGGGGTTCCGGGTGCTCCTGCATCTCCTCTATCTCCTTTAGGTCCTGGCATACCAGTAGGACCTTTAGGACCTTGTACTCCAGGAGGACAATAGTCCTGCGTTGCTTTACAAAATCCCTGCACGACTTTGTACTAGAAACAAAGAAATATCGAAAAAAACTATGATGGAAAATTAGCATAAACATTAAACAGAAGATAATCAGGACAGGACGCGGGCTTATCTTCTTTGTCAACATTGGTCGCATTCCTAAACCATAGTATTCATGCTTCATGAGTATTCTATGATCACTTTTCGAGGTATTAACCTCTATAAATAATTTTTGCCTGTAACACAACAATTTCGATCACCATGTATAGAATAGTCTTTACTACATATTTCAAATTTGTTGTTCCATGATAGGGGCTGTTGTATTTTTAACGATAAGCATTTATTTTTCTTAAATTGGTTATAGTTTTCTTAAAGGAAAGCCATAAAGTTAAATATAAAATTCATGCATTACCGAGTTTATGTCTCGAAGATTAATAATTTTACTACCATTATTGCAACCGCAACCATATGTAGATGTAGTTCCTTTACGAGAGAAATAAGGAAGGTAAATTTCTCTCTCTGGTAAATGAAGTATATTTTTTATTTATTCACAAAATTATATGGTGAGTGAACATACTGGAACTCTAGAGTAACTGGTGAGCCACACCCACGTGTCGCCACCAGGAGCTGGACCTTTGGCACCAGTCCGGCGCATTTCTGCGGCGTCCTTCTCCTCGAGCTCGGCTCGCATTTTTGGATTGAAAAACTCGACGTGCGGTGCCACTGTATTATCTTCTTGAATCTGAGATGATTTCTGAAAAAATATATTAAGGTTATGTTCTCTATTTTCTTTTTCTTCAAACAGTAAATTTTTGTATGTTCATAAATTATCACCATACTTATTATTAGACGTTATTTAGGTAAATAAGTTCTTTAATGAAAATTATGAGGCTTTATATAATTTTCTAATAAAATTACAATGAACATACTGATTAAAAGATATGATAAAAACTTGCGCAGATACTTATAAATAATGACTCAAGTGTCGTAGCAGTAATGTTTGGAATTAATGAGCTTTGAGTGTGCTACATGATTTTTCACAGCATATGGTATACTAGTTTAGAGACCAAAAATATTTCATTACATTTCATTAGTTTGTTACGTACATTTTCTTAAAACAACTACAAAAAGACGAATTGAGAATGTCATGTTCTCAATTAGTCTATATTTTTTTAGGCCATATAGCTTTGATTTATTTTAAAACTTATATGGGAATGTAAACACAAGGCGTTTGACGACAGTGGCACCAAACTTAAGCTTTGACAATACATGAATAAGCTGCACACAACTTAAAAAAAATCAATTATTTTTATACTAGTATACTAGTTAACAAAACAAATACTGTCTTCTACAAATTCTATTTTTTCCCAAAATCCCTAATAATTACGAAAATTAAAAAAAAAACAATAGCTGAACCATTTCAGCCACAATGGCTGATCTGAGGATTCTTAGACAAACGAATAGCAGTAATTTTCCTTATACTCATAGAGACAGATTTCAATTTTCAGTAAGCGTTATTAAGAAACATTAAATTATTTACTTACTGAAATTATTAGTATTTTGAGGAATATTCAAATATATACAATGTGGCGCATAATTCGGTACTAAAAGATCGTGGTAAGTACCTATCTCCATAATGTAATTGAATTTAGGGCGATCAATTGGTTGGCAACAGTACTTACACACAATAACACTCATATAGAATGTCTCATACGATTGCTTATTGTAAAATTTCCATTCATAATAGTTTTTATATTAACTTTTGGCCGTATGGTCTCGGTATAGAATAGGCCACCCCTTCCTTGCTCGTGGGTGTCGTAAGAACCGACTAAGGGAGGTCAAGGGATGGGCAGTAGCGTCCCTCTTAAAACATCTCTAAAGCCTAAGCTTTAGTTTTGCTGTTGCCATTCCGCCTGCCAAGCGTGGAAACTACTGGAAAAAACCCCTAAAGGAGGAGGCTTATATTCAGCAGTGAAAAGTTGATAAAAGAATTTCTCCTTTATTTATTGTATTTATGTTATTTATTTTTGTATACGAAAGTTATCAAACAGATCATGTTTAAATTACTTAGATAATTTGAATAGCATAAGGTGATATTAGTAATAATAGCTCTATACTTTTTCCACGTGGTCTATGTCAGTTGCTTTATTATAATTTTGTTTAATTAATTTCAGTTACTCTATAATTTTAAACAATTGACGTATACATAAGAAAAGCATCATTACCGCAATGAAATATAGGTACACAATTGATAATATTCATAACCTAATATTTAACGAGACTTTACAAATTAAATTTCTTAACTTTTTCATTAATGTCTACATACCAACATTGCTTCTCGCTTTAATCTGCTCGAAGTTGTTCCAGTTAATTCTGTGAAGTAACTTTCAATTCTTTCTTCTAATTTATCTTCTAACATATTTCTCACTACATTTCTAGCTTCTATATTTATATTAGCTTTCGCATCACCAATTTCTATATAATTATAAGTATGAACTATAAGGGATATAACTGCACACACACAAGCAAAAATTGAGAGATGTTTACAGCACGGCGCATCAACACCATTGTCCGTTGAATATTTTCTTTTACCGTTTTTCATTTTGTATAATACATTGACATCACTGTTTTACTACGATCACTAATCCACAAATCTGCATCACTAATCATTATTCCATCGTCTCCTTGTTACAGACATTGGTTGAATAATTGAAATTTTTAAATAAGGAACTTTGGACTTAATTTTGAGGGACGCTTCGTTTCATTTCGAGGGACGTGTTCCCTTGCCGAGTTATCTGAACATAATCCGGTCCAATATGGTTCTTCCGGCATGATACGAGTAGTTGCACAACAGCTCCGATAACCGACAATTGAGAGCGCTATTTAAACTCTGAACTCAATCAAGCAATCGACAGCCGTAGTACGGTCTGATCTCAGATTGCTTATTCAGATACCAATGATAGTATGGCCAATAAAAAAATACATAAGAGGAATCTACAATTCGAAAATCAAAGAATATAAGTATTAGAAGAGACCTAGAGTAACCGATCATGACCAGACAGATCATATACCTCAAGAAAAGCCTCCATAACGGGTGTGTATGTTTTTAATGAATTATGAAAATTATAAACTCGGTCCTCTTGGTTAATAGGCAGCCAGCCTTCTAAGTAAAACTGGCGTGAAGATAGAACTAAATATGACTAACTCGCAAATTATTTAACCACAAAAAATTACCTAATAAATAAATAAATAGAAAAGATCGTTTAGGGAAATTAATGTGGAATGTAGACAGATTTTGAAAAACAATTTAGGAAATTTTCTTGGAAACGAGAAATAATGGGTTCGAGTAGGTGAAATTACGTTCCTATTATATCTAATTAAAAAGAACAGAAATACAAATCACTATTTATAGGACATTAAGTGCATTAAAATTCATTTATTTTTTAATTATTTCTAATCATTCTAACATAGAAAGTCTATTGCTTGTTTTTGAGGAAAAAGTATTATAAGTAAGTCTAGTCTAGCAAAGAGTTATAACAAGTTATTGATTATCTAACATGTTTGCAGATAACAAAAGAAATCTCTACGAAGGAAGTCAGTATAGTATTGTAGTAAGATTTCGGATAAGTATCATGTGTTAAAATAGATTAAGATTATATTGAATTTATTCTATACACTGTTAGCAATTAAATGTACGGTCTATTTGCAATAAATTACTTATATGTAGCCTATGGTTAGACGCATGCAACATCAGGGGACTGATGGCAATTAATTTAAATCTACTAGTAAAATTATTTCCCTCAAATGATGTTGTTCTGATTTTAAATCTGTTTTAATTCAATAAGTCTATTTTTCCTGTCATCATTTAGTTTCATCTATTATTCTCTGAGACAAAAGACCTTTGAAGTTCCCTCAAAAGGGATGTAACCCTCGCGCATGCGCCCAGAACTATGTCAGGGACATGACCTGCAGCCTTCAAGGTCGTTTGTGTTTAACGTTTACACTGTCATTTACTTAGGCGACTTCAAGGAGTATACTCCACGATCTGGAATTTAAAAATATAAAATTTAAATTACATTATTAGTTAGGGTATGGATTTAGTGCCTCCGTTGGCCGCTGTTCAAGGTATGTTCTCAAGTAGATGGTTTTGTTTTTCATTATAATGATTTCTTTTCTTTGAACTTGAATGTTATAGAGGTTGTTGCTAAGCGCTATTTGTAGTGGGTTTGTTCAATTTTTTGTGATATTTTGTTATACATCACTTGATTATACAATTTTGTTCATCCGTTCCATTGTAATTTGAAGTCCTCTATTGGTCTAACTCCTGTATTGGTGTTGATTCTAAAATCTGTTAAAACTATATCTGTGTTATAAAATTAATAAGGACGTAAAACAAATTAATTATAAATTGTGAATGTACAAACATATTAGAGAAATGGAATAATGCTTATGTATCTTAACGTGATCAAAATGATAGACCAAGTGAGCGCAACCGTGAATTTTTCCTATTCTGATAGTTTATCGAAAATTAGGATTTATTTACTATTCTATAATTGTTCTTAAGTGCTGCTTGCATTATTTTAGATAAAATTTGGTACCACGTTTTAGTTTCATGCTTTTAATTCTGTTATGTGAACTTTTGTAAGATACTGCAGTATTTTGTAGAATCTATACATGATCAAAACTGTAAATATTTTAATGGTACCCGTATAAGTATGAATTTTGTTACTTACACACTAATGGGTGCCTAATCATAATACTAACTTATTTTCAGCATGCAGTGTTCAACCTTTAGAAGACTACGATGGACCAAGAGCACCTTTACTTCGTCAAGTGTCCCTTGACGAGGAGCGTCGGGACGAATGCCAGGGACATTGGAGGGGAGTTCACATCCAGGGTGAAGAAGAGGAGAAAGGTGTCAGGCTATTCAGAGCTTTATTACTACAGCATCTGAGGCTGGAAGAATTGAGGCCACCACCTTGTATTGTGGCGACGGCTAGACCCGATCCGAGGTGTGTAGTATAAAAGTTGTAACCATGTTTAATATTATTTATAAAACAATGTTAGTTTTCGAGTTATCAATTGTGGTTTTGTTTATTAAACTTTTACTGGTACAAGACTGGCAAACAGTATTAATGGAGCCTCTGATGTAAAGTGTTAATATTCTACAGGTCATTTATGATTGGGAATCATACAAAATTATGATACAATATCGGTTATATGGCATATGTCTACTTACTTACTTTACTACTCCTAAAGATCAAAGTAAATATTTAGAGGTCTTATACAAATCAAAATAACCCTTAAACAGAACACAGTAACATACTATTTTGCTGCTACATAATAGAAATAGATGGTAGTAAATTAGATCATCATTTGAACCAATTATAATATACCTTATTACCTTTCTCTCTGCAACTCTTCATATGTTCTCGTCTTTTAATGTGGCACACCTTTACAGATACCAAATTGAAAATATTAATATCACAGCAGTTGTAACTTCAATAAAGGCACAAACTTGACCAATTATTTTTAACCTTTAGGTTTTACATAACTGTCTACCATTTGTCCTCTCATTATGACTAAACCACCATATTTATTTCCCAATCCTCTATTGCTTTTTAAACTAAACTTTTTATTAAAATCACTATTTCTTGTACATTCAAGGGTTTTATTCTACTATTACGTAAAACGTTATGTTGTCTTAGCCATATTTAATGCTCACAATTATACATCTGTAACAATCATCAATAACAATTGGTCATTATAAACAATCAGCTAAATTATTAAAATGTTTTCTCAGTTCTACCAATATGAAATATCAATTCGTTCACAGCTTTTTCCAATATTACATTAATATCATCATCTTCATCGTGCCTCCCACCAAACTGTTTATAATTACTCCTCTCCATCCAAAGGTTGCCTGAAAGAGATCGCTCTTAGCGATAAGGTCGCCCATTGTTTTCTCATTGTGATTATTTCTAGTACTTGTTTATATCTATAATAAGTTTACTATTGTAATCTTTTGGAGGAAACAATAAAGAGTATCTATCTATCTACTTTTATATTGTTAGTGGCTGGTGGATGTATTGGCGCGACTGGCGAGCCCTGGAGCGGGCTGCTAAGAGATTTCGAGGAACAAAAGCAAGAGCGAGACTAGCAGCTAGGGCTGAACAAATATCGCTTCTCAGCTTGGATGAAGTCGCTTTTGAAGACATTATGCAGGAATTATGCCAGGTAGAATTTGATAAGTGATCTTTATTATGCAGTTGATAATGGTAAAGACGAAAACATACTTCTTATTATATCGGAATTTAATAAAAGTGACGATAATAAAAAAATATTCACTACAGGAAGCAGAGAAATTTGCGTGCGTTCGAGGAAAATTCATATTTACAAGTCAAGGTTAATTTGTAATTAACAAAGTTGTTTTGGATAGTATTATTGCCGGAAATGGTTACGTTAAATGAATGAAACACAGGCATTTGTAGTGTTCAGTAAAAAAGAAAAAAACAAAATATTTATATGGTTATCTTATTGCAGATTTTATATATGATAGGATACGAACAAGCATCTCTGTAATATCCAAGCTGAATATGATGAAATATCCATATGACCTACAAGTTTTAGATTTAGGACGGGATAGGATTTAGAATAAAAAACCGTGTAATTCTACAGCAATGTAGTTTACGTTAGGCATAAATATTGGAAAAAATTATTGAAAATTTTGCCATGAAGTATAATTATGGTATTAACTGGGAAGACATTTTTAAATAACTGAGAGAACTACGCGGTATCCTATTATTTTAAGTATTAAATTTTTTAGTCGAATACTTATATACTTTTTAATATCTTTCAGGCTTGTGCCCATATTGAGCAACGGGCTTTGGTGGTGCTAGCATTTCTATGCGAAGTATGCGCGAGAGCTGTTCGGGTTGGAGGTTGGTGCCGGGCGGCAGATTGGGCAGCGAAACATGTAGCCCAGTGCGCTACACCGTGGGCGATCAGACATGGAGGATGGGTAAGTAGCTGTCAGAATTGGATTAAAAAAGGGTTTTGTCTGAACGAAAAACAAGTTGCAAATCTTTAATTGCGGTAAATGACATATAATTAATTGACAAATAAATGTAACTTTCAAGTAAAAGTTCCAGGTAGATCATGGAAACTTCAAACAAACTGTCTGATACAAAATACTTACCGTCCACTTAAAGAAATAGAAGGTGATTATGCATACACAAGTGAATCATACAAAATTACCAAACAATGGAAACGTACTCGTATTCTACTTATATTTCAGATATTTTACTTCATTGTGTATTTTTCAGAGCGCAGTGGTAGAGAGAGCAGGTGGCGCTCGCAGAGAGGAGACGACACTACTGGCCGGGGCGGCGTTCGCCGCGCTACTGGCATTTTTACTGTTTTGCCGCACGCGAATGCGTCAAGCTTTGTTGTAACTACCCTCAAATCATATTGTTGTGGTCATGACATATTGTAATTTTTCATCATTAAGATGGGAATGACAAATTTACAAAATGCATATGCCTCATTCTTGTACGATTGATGTTTTCACTGGAATTTGAGAGCACAACTATTATTGTGTACAAGCTTTTGTGGGGTACAAGGAAAAGTACTGAGACAGGTGGCAAATTTTACTATAGAGCCAACTTTTGGCAAATCACTAAAATGTTCTATTTTATCGTCCTAGAATAAAGGTTCTTGTCCTATGTTTAAATAATTAGGTTTATTTCCTCTTTCTTCTAAAGTAAAAAAGGTGTGTTTAAGGTATCTATTAGTATATTTATAGTTAATTATTTTTACTACTGTAAGCTACACGCACAGCGTACGGTCTAAAATATTTTTATGGGGTTTGATCTCAAACAGTGTCTTAGGTATTATTGTATTTTTCTATCAGAATGGTGTTAAATGTGATTGAATGTTATTTTTATATAGCAGTAATGTATTTATGTTTATCAATAAAAAGTATTTAGATAATAACGCAGTTTTTTTTATTAAAAAAAGAACTCGTGGCGACTTTTCCTAAATTTATAATTTTTATACAAGTATCAGGTGGAAAGTGGTAACCATTGTCTTTATTCATGTACATATACCATGGTTTGATGTTTGTCGTGTGGTCCCAACATAGAATGAGATATCCCTTCCTTTGCCGTGGATGTCGTAAGAGGCGACTAAGTGAACTTAATGTCCCATTCTTTAAAATATCAAAGGCTAACTGCGGTCGTCAACCCACCTGTCAAACGTGGTTACTACTGGCAAATTTCTCCTATAGGGGAGCAGTGGACAGTTAACGACTGGTAAAACAAGCTGACGGCCCACCTGATGGAAAATGGTAACCGTCGCCTATAGACCTGAGCAGTACCATGGACATAACAAAGTATACTGTTTCGCCCATGATACCCCCCAGGCGTTGCCTTTTTTGAGGACTCAGGTGTTATTCCTCCGTAAATTCAGTATAAAATAATATTCACTGTAATATGGCTATTTTCCTTATTTCGAATGACATCGAGTTAACGACTTAATTGTTACTACTAGTGAAAAGCATAAAGATTATCCCACTCTTTTCTACAGCTAAACTACTATGGGATATAGATGGGATATATACATACATAGGGAGATTGTACAAAAGTCGATTGCTTGGGTACCTCTGTCCCATTCGTGTTTCAACCGTGAAGCAATTGTGTTTGCATGGCTGTGTTTCGGTTTGAAGCGTGGGATATGGCGTGAATTTACAGGGTACAGAGGAATAACATCAAAATTTTTTTATAGTTAGGGACACTAATCATCTAGCTGTACGATATATACTTTACGATCTTTTCTCATAACTACCAAATATATAAAACAAAGAGATTCTTATATATAAGAATATAAACATATTATAAAAATAACATAACCTTCAAGAAAAGAGTATATTCCTTTTTAAAAGGCCGGCAGCACACCTGCAATGCCGCTGGTGTTGTGGGTGATCATGGGCGGCGGTAGTCACTTACCATCAGGTAAGCCGCATGCTCGTTTGCCCCCTGTGTTGTAAAAAAAAAATGAAAGACATTTTCACTCACTATTTTATTATTTTTATTGTAATTTTTCATAATACCGCCGTCTGACTGCGTGCGGGTACGCCGATGCTCCTCTGATACGTAAAATTAAAAATTTTAAAACTTTAATTATAAACCAATGTATCATCTATAAACATTTGAATGTATTAAACAATTGCAGAAACTATCACAATGTTTAATTATTAACAATTACAAAAATAAATCTTGCTAAGCTATTCACGCTTAGATATGTCGCATACTCATGATCTTAAATAAAGTACTCAATGTTCATCGACATTGATGTAAGATATATCATATATATTTAACTGTATATTAATATTCAGATATAGTATCTTTCGTATTCTTTAGTTTCTGTCAATAATCAAATTAATTTCGCATGTCCGCATCACAATCCTACCAAGATTTATTTTTGCATCAACAATATTAAAAGCTTTGACAATAGCAACAATATTACATAATATACAGCAAAATTTAATATATATATGTATATATATATATATATATATATATATATATATATATATATATACACATACAATTTCTAAAAACTCAACTAGCTCACTGAAACCATTAAAAATCCATATAATACTGTTAATACACCACCAAAATCACAATAACCCGATACAAAATTAATGCCAGCAAGAGCTTTACCTCCCATTTTTTTTTTATCATTACAACATGATGAAAATTCCTAAAACTTATCTACTTTGTTTAAAATTAATAACATTTTTTTTTACTTTTACTTAATTTGTAGTATCACTATTAACAATCTACGCTGACATCTCGACTTCGAGTTAAGTTATTTTCGTCATTGTCAATGTTTGTGTCAAATTTTTAAATTTTATGTTTATGTGGCAATTTATTGTCGGTTTGTGTCAGTTTAATTCAGTATCTATATTTGTATTTGATTATTTAATTCCATTCGACATATTTGTCTATTTTTCAAAATATTACATTTTCGTTCATGTGAATGGATTAGATTCAGTCATAAAGATGTTTCCTTTTTAATTTTAAATAGTTTTCTGTACGTTGCTTCTTTTAGAATTTCAATTATTTCTCATTTATCAGCATGTTTTCCATAATTTACAGAGTTTGTTAAAGATACAGTAGAATAATTTAAATATTTTGCTATAACACTGTCATTTTCGGTTCTGTTTATTTTAAAGTTACTCTTTCAATAATATCCCGAAATCGAGATGAATCAGCTACGAACGAAATCGATGACTATGTAAGTCCACTCCACTTTTCTTGACCCATACTAAATTTAAAGCTGAATTTAAAGAGATAATAGCATATTCCACTAAATATACGAAATTACATTTATGGTGTTCGTATTCACGCGTCTGCGTCAAAAAAAGTGTAATGCTAATATTATTTATAATCTGCAATAATTTTTACTTTATAATTTTATATAAAAACCATCACTCTAGTAACAATTTCTACCTGGATATTATTATATTTTAATTTTTTGTTAATAAACATTTTATTAATTTTAATGATAGCATTTAGTCTATAGATATCTTAGTCTACGAAAGAAGTTATAAAGTTTACGAGTTAATCGGTACCAATGAGTGAGAGGGTACCGTACGAATAGTTAATAGAGTCAACCCTTATAGTAACTAGGTATAACAAATGCTGAGTAATGGTATCTAGCTCGGTGTGCTATTTGGTATTGAACAAATGCAAGTTAATGTAACTACGTGTGACATGCAATACGAGGGAACAACGCCCATGTGATGTAATCCATGAATCGAGACTCAGTCCGAGAGACCTAATGGCATCGCACCACATTAAACAATGGAAGGATGGTAAATTTACAAAGACTACTTACATTATACAAGAGATAGATAGAAATCGCTAGTGTAATAGTAATAATTATAATTAGCATAGCTTAATAGGCGATACATACAAATCGTACGCGCTTGGTACTTGGTGCTTCCCACAGTATTACAGTTACAAGTATGTAAAAGGATATATTACGATTTACAGCATCTACATCGTACTAAATTGAATTATTAAGTTTAATGAGTAATATATCACCAAACCTTAAATAAATATTTGCGTCAGAGCAAAGATGATTCGTTCCTTAATATCTGTATAGACCGGCCACTCAACGGTCTCACAGTTCCATTGGAAGATTTAGATATAAATATCGCAATCAGAGAATAATTTGCAATTATAGATGTTGAATAAGGATTCGTATTAGAAATTGAAACCGTTCGACCGACAGTGGCCGCTAAGCGAACTACAGAAGTCTATCAAATCCAAGCCTAACGTTATATACAGAGAATATGTGACTGCAAAGAGATGAATTTCTATAAACACTTTATAAATACGTCATAAGCATGCCCTTATCACAGATTATGACCTACTCGATTGTCCGGTACCTATCGATATGTCATTATTAAAAATTTCAAAACCGTTGCTAATTTGTTTATATATTTATGTATTAAGTGCAATTGTGTTCGTTCTATTCGAATTCAAATGCCCCTCTATTTGTTTTAATAACTTCTAATACAAGTTTAACTAAAATGAAATAAAATGTTTCGTCTAGAAGCGTTTATAAGTATTTCCTGGTACACTTGTGCGCATTCACATACATATCAAAGGAAATTGTATGAATTAAAGAAATTTCATAATGAATTTTAACCATTTGAGCGTTACACAATGGTCTGATTGTTAAAGCTTAAAATACAAATATTTAACTATCTATTCTAGTCTATTTATTGCTATGTCAAATAGGCGGGTTATCAATATAAAACTTTGTGGGATGTTAACAATTGAACATACAAAAATGTTTGATTAAAAAATCTCTATTATTCACTCACTGATCAGCTAGTTATAATGAAATAAGAAAATAATTTGAGAAAGCGAAAGCACAGACAACAGAAAGATCGGAAAGAAAAAATATGGACGGTTTTATTGATGAACCAATTTTAATGAAACATTTAGTCATAACATTTAACTTTTCAAACCATGTCTTGTTGAACGCACGAAGAAAAATATTTTTCTTATAGCTAAGACGTATTTTTAAGAATTGACTATCTTGTCTGATGTTAATATTTTTATAATAGAATATATTTTCATTGAAGTTAAAGATTAAACGTTCGAGAAATACAAGAAATTAAAGTATAGACGAGTTATAGTAAATAGGGTAAAATATAACTACCGTATAATATTTGAGAGCGGGACACATGCGTCCTGAAAACTTTAGGTTCATTATTATAATGACAGCCATATTGATAGTACCTATATGAAAGTGAGTAAGTACATTTCGTATCGGCTCATTACAATATTTAAATCGAAGCTAACAATGTTACTGAGCTCGTAGGAACTCTTAGGCACATTTTATGGAATGAGAACTTTATTAAAAATTCTGTCACATTTGCCCCGCTCCATCACCACCTTATCTTCATCTACTTGTGTATTTACAACACTTTCATTTCTAGCAATTTGTGCTAAGACAACATTACCGACATCTATCCGCGAGAATTTATTTCACATCACGATAAAATTTCAATTATCGAATCGTGGACTGAACTGTTAGGTCACACCGACCTTTTGCTATCCATAATCTATTATCATTTGTATACAAAACAAAATACTTATTTACAAAAATAACTCAACTGACATGTACACGAACAGCCTAATTTTTCCGTACATACTCTAAAACATAATCGACTTTAGCTATTTCAAGTTTGTTACCATATCACATATATTGCAATAGTTGTGTTGTACATGTTTTTTTTTTTTATCTAATAACGAATGTATTTTCAAATTAGTCCTTAATAACAATTAGAAAAATTATCTTTATACCACCAACGTTGAAACGTTGCTTTAAGCGCCATTTAACGAACAACTAACATTTATATAATAAACTACAGTCTCTATTGATGGCTATATATTTGTAATTACTTTAGTTCCTTTCATATAAAAAATGAAATACTTTAACACATTTTTCATATCCTTCAATGTTTTGTATAGACCTACACCTTCATATTCATTGAATCTTCATTTATAATTTATTGCATTTAGGAATATTCAGAGTATTAACTTTTTAATTTCCATATTTAGGAAATATCTTCAAATTGCAACTTCTTAAAAATTATCTTTGGTGCTCATTTCTCTCTTGAACTTTATCACAAGCAGTACAATTATTAGAAAATTCTAAAATAAATCTATTTAGCAAAGCAATCACAACACAACGTAAGAAAGTTATTTGAGCAATTTTTTTTACAATTTGTGCTATAACGACCTCTAATGAAAAGAACAAAGAAAATTTCCAAGATAACGCTAGCGCTGTTATCTTTATTTACGGTACTAAGTACATCATCATTCAGGTCTTATATAGTTAAATCCAGATTTTTTAGATCTTCAATAGATAAATCCTATTTGATTTCTTCAAAATTTCAATCCAATTCCAGTTGATAAGAATCTTTCCATTTTCCTTTATTATTTATTAAATGTAGTATTTCCACTATATGGAAATTGTTAGATGTTTAGTCTAGCATTTAAATCGGCTCTTACATTATATAGCACTTTTGCTACTTGTACAAAATTTGCTTTCTATGCTATGTCGTTTTTAATGACACTACAATTGTTAACGTACCTATTGTCTACATTAGAAACTGGATTGTAGCAAAGATCTTTCCCAATTACGTTAATCGTTTTGTTCCCAGTAATGTTGTAAAGGCAGAAACCTAAAACCATAAAGTTATATTGCCTTCAATTCCATGTAATTGTGAATTTGCTAGTTTACTCGGTGGGACAATGTAAGTATCCATATTCAAGACCTAAACTAACTGCAACGAAGACGAAATAAAGAAGGAACATGGTGAAGCCCAATCCTCTGTTCATTTTCCACCTGAAGCAGGCAATGCTGAGGATGACGAAGAGCAGCATAGCAAAGAGTAGGACAATGCTGCAGACCATTCCTTTTGAGTTGACTTGGACTGGTTCTCCGTTGATTAACCCATATAACAGCCAGGGCAGAGGTAACCTGCAATGAAAGTTATAATATTTTAAATATAAATTAAACTACTAATTGTGAAAGTTTGTACTATTTGTATATTTGTTATTACCCAAATTTATTCAGTGCATTTAATTGAATAGATTTAGATAAAATATATCACACAGGTAAAAAATCCGTTTTTATGAAAACATTCCTCAACAATAAATATTTATTCTTTATTTATTTATTCTTTATTGTACACAGAAAAAATTACAACATATAATATATATATATATATATATATATTTATATATATATATATATATATATAAAATGAAGATGTATAACAGGCGAGCTTAACTCTGTAAGAGTTCTCTTCCAGCAAACCCTGAGTGGAAAGGAGCATTAATTATTATATAAATTGTATTTATATGGGCATGTGTTTAACAATTGTAAACAAAAATTTTCTCGAAATAATATTCTGATCTGTTATTAATAATAATAAATATTTTTTTTGCAAAAAATATGGTCTAAATGTTTTTATTATATTTAAAACTGCATATGCTTTGCTAAAATAAATAATAAATAAATAAACTTTATTTCACTCTTTGTTAAAATATAGTTTGAAGTCCCTAACTCCCGAGGTAGGTATGAAAAAACCTGTGTAAAATCATATAGCATGTAAATTCAATTATTTTCATTATTACTATATACATCAGAAATTTTATAACGGAATTTTTAATAAAACTTTTTTTAATGTTCGTAAAAGTTTAGAAAAAACAAATAGAAAATGTAATTTTAACAGGATCCTGTTTGACGTAACAACTAGTATTACTATACTAGAATGTAAGATTAATATAAGATAAATTAAATCATGCAAAAAAAAGTTGTAGTTCGAAATAATTATTTTGTGATACATAAGTAACAAAAGGTTGTAAAAGTACGTTGAGCAATTTATTTATTTATTTAAACTTTATTAATCAATAAAATATGGTAGAAAAGGCGGACTTAATGCTATAAGCATTCTCTACCAGTCAACCTTTAGGATGTGTCTTTAGCATGTATTCGATTAAATTTAAATGATTTATTTTATTACTTCATTATTACCAGTAAACTATAAGTTAGTATCAAGTAAGTTTACGTTAAGTTTTCAAACTTATCTATTTTATCAGAAGAAAGTAGGTAAACGATAAACAGGTATATACGGTAAACCCCAAAACTACGCATCCATGAATTTACACAAGTATTTTTATGTTACTTGGCATTTGTTTGACCCGATATTTGGGGCAAGGTCCTGTATTGGTTAGATAAGTATCAAACCGAGGTGCGGGGTTACTTTTCACCCTAGCGGTCTTCTATGTCAGGGTTGCCACTTATTCGTTTTTATTGGAATTCGTAATATCTCCAATTAATTTCAATAGTTAATGATTTTTTTTATTTTATACCACTGAGGTGGCAAACAAGCATACGGGCCACCTGATGGTTATCGTAGCCTATGAACGCCTGCAATACCAGGGAGTATTACGCGCGCGTTGCCGACCATGAAGAAACCTCTTTACCTCCCTTTTGAAGGAAGGAGACTTTGTACAAAAGTCGATTGCTTGGGTACCTTTGTCCCATCTGTGTTTCTACCATGAAGCAGTTGTGTTTGCATGGCTGTGTTTCGGTTTGAAGGGTGGGATATGGCGTGAATTTACAGGGTATAGAAGAATAACATCTGAGTCCTCAAGTCATCAAAGCCGCAACCGAAAACAAAAAACGAAATTTTATCATAATTGGTTGAGTAGTTTAATTTTTAGACTAATATAACTGGTTTTGACACAATTAAAGCCATTTTTTTTTGGGACACAATCTTTAATTATTGAAAATTTCAATTTAAAGAGGAAAAATGCAGATAACAGATAGTGTATGTATGTAATAATAGACATAATATTTATTTAAATTTCCTTTATCTTCATAAATGTTCACGATTTATAAAATTATTGGTAATTTTTAAGTGACAGCCCTAGCTATTGGTGAGCATAGTGCGTCGTTCTCAGCCGGTAGTCCTTGGAAAGTATAAGTTACTTGCTTACTTGCATTGCACGCAAAGCTCACGCGGGTTTTAGCTTTAGTTATTAGTATTATAATAATGAGATTTCAATATAGATATATAATTATAATCTTCTATACTTAATATGTAAATAAATTATAATATTACATATACATAGAAATATATATACAAATTCATACACATACATACATATATATGTATGTAATTAAAATTAAAAAAAAAAATGTAAGTATGCTATAATAATTAGACACAAATTATAAATATAACTAGTTGTCATGCATTAAATATTAGTTAATTATTATTTAAAAACAATTTTTTTATTCATTCTTTATTTATTAAAAGGTATACACAACAGGTTACAATCAATAACGTTATAAATATTTATATAAAGATAAGTTTTTTTTAATACAACTTACAATGGCAAACAAGCTGACGGCCCACCTGATGGAAAGTGGTAACCGTCGCCTATAGACATGAGCAGTATCGTGGACATAACAGAGTATACTGTTTCACCCATGATACCCCCCATGCGTTGCCATTCCTGAGGACTCAGGTGTTATTCCTTTGTACCCAGTAAATTCACGCTATATCCCACCCTTCAAACCGAAACACAGCCATGCAAACACAACTGCTTCACGGTTGAAACATGAATGGGACAGAGGTACCCAAGCAATCGACTTTTGTACAAAGTCTCCCTCTGGTAACAAAGTCTCCCTCTGGTAAAAAAATAATAAATAATAATAAAGATAAGTAATAAATGGATTACACGACAACTGATAATAATGATGATTGAATGATGATTCGTCGTGTAGTGGTTTAACAAACTGCCTCGTTTTCTAATGGTTGTGAATTCAACTCCCGCAAATATTAGCACTCGCAGATGTTAAATTGTCGATTACAGCTTTTTCTATTGATCTGAGTATTTTAATAGTAAAAAAAAAAAAAAACTATGTCATATTTAAATTTATATTGTATTTATAAAAAAAAATACTAGTCATATCCCGTGGCTTTGCCTGTAGACGTATCGTGACATTAATACCATATGGCGTTATCTATCAGTCGACTGTAAACAGGAAAAGTATAATTGATGGTACGACGTGATAAGCAAATAGTAAAACAAAAACTGTATTAAAATATAACAGTAATTTAAAAAATAACATGCATAAATTGTTTATCTAAAGAATATAATATGTGTACTGAATATATTACAGAGCGCCATCTAGTTTTAAACTAAGCAAAAATTGTACTATTAGTATAAGACAGTAGATAGTATAAAATCTTAAATATAGTTCTATATACAAATTCATTTAGGTGTATAAAGCGGAAGAGGCTGTTTGTTTGAACACGCTAATCTCTGGAACTACCAGTCGGATTTGAAAAATTTTTTTTGCATTTGATAGCTCAATTCTTGAGGAAGGTTATTGTCTATTTAAATTCGCTATTTACGCTATCTGAGTGTATTAAAGTTGATTTTTTTTTTATTCAACTTAGAATGGCAAACAAGCTGACGGCCCATCTGATGGAAAGTGGTAACCATCGCCTATAGACATGAGCAGTACCATGGACATAATAGAGTGTACTATTTCGCCCATGATACCCCCATGCTTTGCCATTCCTGAGGACTCAGGTGTTATTCCTCTGTACCCAGTAAATTCACGCCATATCCCACCCTTCAAGCCGAAACACAGCCATGCAAACACAACTGCTTCGCGGTTGAAACACGAATGGGACAGAGGTACCCAAGCAATCGACTTTTGTACAAAGTCTCCCTCTGGTAATGATTGTAATGCTCTGTAAATATAAGTGCAATGTGCTATATATATACAATAACAACAAATAAAAAGAAACTACTGGAATACATAACTACTTCTTTATCAAATTACTTACTCATTGGCGCATTTATTTAAATATTTACAGAAGCTAATATTTTCTTTATAGTTGGAACGATTTGGAATAACCAATTTGTTAAAGGAAGCATCACGAACACGCGCGTGTCGATCGCTTTTAATAGCAAATTATTTGGTTGTTTCTCCTATACTCTGAGTGAATTCACGACAATCTGATATATAGTATATTTATATGTATCGCAATATATATAATTATGAATTTGAATTTATTCTTTATTGCACAATAAAACTTTGCACAGGTGGCGAGTTAATGTTTTATAGCATTCTCTACCAGCTAACCATTAGGTAAAAACAAAAAGCGCATGAAGGGTAGATGTGGTGAAAAATATGTGACAAGCTGGTTTTGTTGACTTAACAAATAATTAAAAAGTCATCATAATACGTGTAATATAAGTTATAGAAGGCGATGTTTATACAAATTTAGTCAATGATCGTTAGTAAATTGCTTAATAATAGAATTAAGAATTCTTATATTGATAGTTTTAAGTTTAAGAAGTTAATAAATAAATTTTACAACGAGCGAACTAGTCTTTTGTATTTACTTAAAGCAAAAACGTTTCAGCCATCGAGTGTCCTTATATAAAAACTTGAAGGGTTTACGTTTCTAAAATTACTCAGCTAAAGGATTTTAAACTTTAACTCGAGGGATTTGAGCGGTTAGTGTTTGCGGTTGTGGTATCGACCGAGGAATGCAGCCAATTGTATTACGAGCCTCGCAAAAGCTTTGAGATAAGCTCGCATCGCTGTATAGATAAAATTATGCCATGAAAGTTGGCCCAAGTTTGCGAAAGGTATTTCGGTGGCGCGACCTAAATAGGATTTATATTTAAGATACTTCGTTGCTCCTCAAAAAGAATAAGTTAAGAGCAACCGAAGTAAGGCAAGGTCGGAATTATAAAATATAAAAAAAAAAACCACAATCTAACTATAATAAAAATGTAAGTAAAGCTTTGTACATGGGAGATATTTAAGAAAAATTGGTACTAGGGGATTTGTTAAGAGAAATAGAAGCTAAAACAATAATATTTAGAAATTTTATCTTTTTTTTTTTATACAACTTAGAATGGCAAACAAGCTGACGGTCCACC